TGCGTCCTCTCTGGCTGCAGGGACACCTGAGCAGGGACCAGTGTGGTCTCAGCAGGCGCTTCCTCCAGGGGCTCCCAAGAGGGAACTCCCCTCTACCCTCTGAGTCTGGGCTGTGAGCTGAGCTCCTGCACCAGGGCCGAGGAGGGGCTGGGTGGGCCCTGGGTGGACGCCATTGGCCTGGCAGCCTCTCCTCTGAGGCTGGGGGAGAACGGGAGGCCTGGGGCAGCCCACCCCACTGTGGGGACCAGGGTCCTGTGGGCACCGTCGCCTGGACTCCGCTCCTGCTCGTGCTCAGGTCACAGGTAGTGACGGGCCCCGGGCGCCAGGGCTCGGGCCCCGGCCTGCATCGGCCCCCGGGGCGCAGACTCCCGGAACCTTTCCTGCAGCTCCTGCCCCGTCGCCCCGCGTCTGTGTCTGCAGGCTCCCGCTCCCAGCCTGTGCTGGCCCAGCCCGCCTCCCTCTAGGCATCTCTGGGAGCATCAGCCAGACTTCCAGACTGCACCCGAACAGTGGGTCAATGTCGGTGGCTAGCAAATGTCCTGTTTCCAGCAGAAGCCAGGGAGCCCTCCCCGGGACCTCCTGATGTTCAAGTCAGACTCCAATAAGCCCCAGGGCTCCCGGGTCCCCAGTCACTTCCTGAATCCAAAGATGCCTCGGCCAATGCAGGGCTCCTGCTCATCTCTGGGCTGCAGCCTGAGGATGAGGCTGATTATAACTGTGCTACCGTTCACCAAAACACTGGTATTTACAAGGTGCTTCAGACCCACAGCGGCCCTGTGCCCTCCCTCATGTGGCTGTCACTGCTGTTCTGCCTGGCCCATGTCTAACTCCAGTTAACCTGCTATGGCCACTTCTGAGCTCCCTGAGAACAACAGATCTGACCTGTCATGTATTGCCCTCATCTCAGATCTGAGACCCACCCATGGCTCTGATTGCTCAGACTGCCATGTTTTGACACATATCTTCCTCAGTTCAGTTCAGTTCAGTTGCTCAGTTGTGTCCGGCTCTTTGTGACCCCATGGGCTGCAGCACACCAGGCCTCCCTGTCCATCACCAACTCCCAGAGTTTACTCAAACTCATGTCCATTGAGTCGGTGATGCCATCCAACCATCTCATCCTCTGTCCTCCCCTCCTCCTCCCGCCTTCAATCTTTCCCAGCATCAGGGTCTTTTCAAAATGAGTCAGTTCTTCACATCAGGTGGCCAAAGTATTGGAGTTTCAGCTTCAACATCAGTCCTTCCAATGAACACTCAGGACTGATTTCCTTTAGGATAGACTGGTTGGATCTCCTTGCAGTCCAAGGGACTTTTGAAAGTCTCCTCCAACACCACAGTTCAAAAGCATCAATTCTTCAGCACTCAGCTTTCTTTGCAGTCCAACTCTTGCATCCATACATGACTACTGGAAAAACCACAGCCTTGACTAGATGGACCTTTGTTGGCAAATTAATGTCTCTGCTTTTTCATATGCTGTCTACTTTGGTCATAACTTTCCTTCCAAGGAGTAAGCATCTTTTAATTTTTTGGCTGCAGTCACCATCTGCAGTGATTTTGGAACCCCCAAAAATAAAGTCTGTCATTGTTTCTCCATTTATTTGCCATGAAGTTGTGGGACAGGATGCCATGATCTTAGTTTTCAGCCAGCTTTTTCACTCTCCTCTTTCACTTTCATCAAGAGGTTCTTTTTCACTTTCTGCCATAAGGGTGGTATCATCTACATATCTGAAGTTATTGATATTTCTCCTGCAATCTTGATTCCAGCTTGTGCTTCATTCAGCCCAGCATTTTTCATGATGTACTCTGCATATAAGTTAAATAAGCAGAGTGATAATATACAGCCTTGATGTACTCCTTTTCCTATTTGGAACCAGTCTGTTGTTCCATGTCCAGTTCTAACCTTTGCTTCCTGACCTGCATACCGGTTTCTCAAGAGGCAGGTCAGGTGATCTGGTATGCCCATCTCTTTCAGAATTTTCCACAGTTTATTGTGATCCATACAGTCAAAGGCTTTGGCATAGTCAATAAAGCAGAAATAGATGTTTTTCTGGAACTCTCTTGCTTTTTCAATGATCCAATGGATGTTGGCAATTTGATTTCTGGTTCCTCTGCCTGTTCTAAAACCAGCTTGAACATCTGGAAGTTCACGGTTCATGTATTGCTGAAGCCTGGCTTGGAGAATTTTGAGCATTACTTTACTAGCATGTGAGATGACTGCAATTATGCAGTAGTTTGAGCATTCTTTGGCATTGCCTTTCTTTGGGATGGGAATGAAAACTGACCTTTTCCAGTCCTGTGGCCACTGCTGAGTTTCCCAAATTTGCTGGCATATTGAGTGCAGCACTTTCACAGCATCATCTTTTAGGATTTGAAATAGCTCAACTGGAATTCCATCACCTCCACTAGCTTTGTTCGTAGTGATGCTTATTAAGGCCCACTTGACTTCACATTCCAGGATGTCTGGCTCTGGGTGAGTGATCACACCATCGTGATCATCTGGGTTGTGAAGATCTTTTTTGTATAGTTCTTCTGTGTATTCGTGCCACCTTTTCTTAATATCTTCTGCTTCTGTTAGGTCCATACCATTTCTGTCCTTTATCGAACCCATCTTTGCATGAAATGTTCCCTTGGTATCTCTAATTTTCTTGAAGAGATCTCTAGTCTTTCCCATTCTATTGTTTTCCTCTATTTCTTTGCATTGATCACTGAGGAAGATTTTCTTATCTCTCCTTGCTATTCTTTGGAACTCTGCATTCAAATGGGTGTATCTTTCCTTTTCTCCTTTGCTTTTGGCTTCTCTTCATTTCACAGCTATTTGTAAGGCCTCCTCAGACAGCCATTTTGCTTTTTTGCTTTTCTTTTTCTTGGGGATGGTCTTGATCCCTGTCTCCTGTATAATGTCATGTACTCTGTCCCTAGTTCATCAGGCACTCTATCAAATCTAGTACCTTAAATCTATTACACTTCCACTGTATAATCATAAGGGATTTGATTTAGGTCATACCTGAATCGTCTAGTGGTTTTCCCTACTTTCTTTCATTTAAGTCTGAATTTGGCAATAAGGAGTTCATGATCTGAGCCACAGTCAGCTCCCGGTCTTGTTTTTGATGACTGTATAGAGATTCTCCATCTTCGGCTACAAAGAATATAATCAGTCTAATTTCGGTGTTGACTATCTGGTGATGTCCATGTGTAGAGTCTTCTCTTGTGTTGTTGGAAGAGGGTGTTTGCTATGACCAGTGCGTTCTCTTGGCAAAACTCTATGAGCCTTTGCCCTGCTTCATTCTGTACTCCAAGGATAAATTTGCCTGTTACTCCAGGTGTTTCTTGACTTCCTACTTTTACATTCCAGTCCTCTATAACGAAAAAGAATATCTTTTTTGGGTGTTAGTTCTAAAAGTCTTGTAGGTCTTCACATCTTCCTAATCAGAGATAAAAATCCCACAGTGGAGATGCTATAAGTGGCAGAAAGAGGCTGGTTCCTGCTCTGCTTCACTCAGACCCCCCAAAATTAATAATGCAAATATCTGTGTAAAAATAAAGTTTTACTTACAAATAAAAAATTTCAAAAGATCTGTCTTATGTCATTTATTTAATATTTTCTTAATAAAAAAACGTTACAAATATAATTATATTTCAGATACGTAACTCTTATCAACGAAAAATTGAAATAAACATAGATTGTCCTTCAGTTAAAATCATGCATGTATTTAAAGCAATGACCATAAAAATTTCACTAATCCACTAACATATTTTCATACATTTACTATCTCAGGGAATTCCCAGGTGGTCTAGTGGCTAAGACTCCATGTTCCCAGTGCAGTCAGCCTGGTTTCATCCTTGTCAGGGAACTATATCTCACATGCCACAACTAAGACAGCACCCAGATAATGAATAAATAAATATTTTTTAAGAATCTCAAAGTCACACACCTACAGTGTGACACACACATTCAGTGCGAGGCAAATTACAGTCGGGCCATTCTTATCTAACCAAACTTTCCCTAACTGTGTCTTCTCGAACCCACTGATTGGAACAATTTTTCCTAACAGCCACCACATATCAGGCTCCCTGGGAACACACGTTGCTCAGAGCCCTTCAGAGTCTCAATAAAAACTGCCAGGAGCACCATCAGACCTGTTCCCTGCAGCCTGTGCCCTGTGCCTGCAGGAGAGACGCCCAGGAGGGGTCCCTTCGTAAGACAGGACACGAGCACGGGGCCCAGTGTGTGGAAAGGTTTGCCCACAGTAAAGATCCAGGAGTTTAGGAATCAAGGGTCTCACCCCAGGCTTCTCCCCCTACACCTTCCCACCTCAACAGAGAAAAGCCCTCTCCTCCTCACGGCTGAGGGGACACACAGAGGAGGGACCCGCTATCCTGCCCAGAAGGGGACGGGCCTCCCCGGGGCCAGCACGGCCCTGACCTGATCCTGATGTGAGAGGAGCCTGTGCCCCAGACGCCCTCTCAGTCCCGACCCTGAGCAGCCCAGGGAGCCATGGACAGACTCGGCCTGAGGGGCCCGAGGGGAGCACACAGGGGGCCCCGAGGTCGCAGGGGACACAGAGGAGGCCCCTGAACTGGCTCTGAGGCGGGGACAGAGCACAGAGCTGGGCCAGGAGCTGTCCCTGAGGGCTCCGGTCACCAGGTCACAGGAAGCGTGTCTGGGCCTGGGCAGCAGGCGGCGCGACAGGACCATTCCTGAGGTGGTTAGTGGGCTGAGAGCTGGGCCCAGCCCCTGAGGTTGCCAGGCAACCACTGCTCAGGGCTCCTAGATGGGACCTCCCACCCCTGGGCCCCAAGAGCCCCGCCGCAGTCCACACCCTGCCCCCCTCAGGCACAGAGACCTGACCCGGGGCCCAGGGAGGGTCAGAGAGCTGGGGGGGGGGGTTATTTGCATGAAAGGACCCTCCCCTCTCAGAGTATGAAGAAGGGAAGGAGCGGTGTGGGGACGCGCTGCTCAGCTGTGGGGCCACAGACGGCAGGACGCCCTGACCGTGTCCACCATGGCCTGGTGCCCTCTGCTCCTCACCCTGGTCGCTGTCTGCACAGGTGACTGGATGCGGGGACAAGGGAAAGGCCCTGGGAAAACTCAGAGGCCCTGCTCCCTGGACCCCCGAGTCACCATCTCTGTCTCTCCCCCTTCCAGGATCCTGGGCCCAGGCTGTGCTGACTCAGCCGTCCTCCGTGTCCGGGTCCCCGGGCCAGAGGGTCAGCATCACCTGCTCTGGAAGCAGCAGCAACATTGGGATATCGGGTGTGAGCTGGTACCAACACCTCCCAGGATCAGCCCCTAAAACCCTGATCTATGGTAGTAACAAACGACCCTCGGGGGTCCCTGACCGATTCTCTGGCACCAAGTCTGGCAACACAGGCACCCTGACCATCACTTCACTCCAGGCTGAGGACGAGGCTGATTATTACTGTGCATCTGCTGACCTCAGTCTTATTAGTCCCACAGTGCTCCAGGCCAGGGGGAAGTGAGACAAAAACTTGCTGTTTTCTCAGAGTCGGTGCAGCAACATCCTCTGCAAAGGCAGCCGCTTCACTTGTCTGTTTGGCTGAGGACTGGGTTCAGAGTCACACCAGGAAACTTGGTCTAGAAAAATCTGTTCACAGCTTCTTAATTTACCCCTTCTCCAGATTTCCTTTGCAGCAAAACATTGTCTTGATTTTCTCAACTTGAGCAGAAATCCCTGGTACGAGGTGCAGGTGCCCTAGGGTCAGAGTCCATGATGGGTCAGTTCAGAACCAGAGAAACACAGTATAGTTCTGATTCTGGACTCATCAGAGTGTACAGTATGTGTCCTGGTCCCAGCAGCTCTCCTCCTCTCTGATGCTAGTAGGGTCCCTGCTCAGTTCCCTGGCCTCAAGTCTGGCATTCAGGCTCCTTGGCCATCATTGGGCTGAGCTGAGTCCCTGGCTGCTGCTCCTGGCTTTCCTGTGACAGCCTCTCAGGCTCACCCGGGGTTCCAGGCTCCTGACCAGGCAGCCTGGGAACCTCCTCCACTGGCTCTTGCCCACGTGGGAAGCAGGGCGCTCACTGGAGTGTGACTTTCCTGCACCTGGGCCCCAGGGCACATGAGAGCTCTCAGCTGTGAGCAACAGTCTTGCCTCTTAGTTCCGCTCCTCTGTCCGGGGGGTCAGTGCTTAGACCTGAGGTCCAGGCTAGGATGGATGGGAAATTACACAACAAAAATGTTTGTAAACTTGACCTACAGTGATGCCTGGACAGAGGATAAGAGACCCCAGGGGAGGGACTTTCTCCATGTCAACAACTTCGTCTCAAGAGCAGGGTCCTGGGGGCCCTCCTCCACAACCTGGACCCCTCCCTTCACGGCCTCACTCCTGAACCAAGACTGTCCTTTAGGAGACAGTGACGGGATGTGGGTTTGGAGGCCTTTGCCCTGCCTTGTGCTCCTGGCATCTGGGCACAGGGCGGGACACCCATGCTTCCTGTCACCTTCTCACCCTCCTTCAAGGGGCCTGGGCCACATGCTGATGGTTCTGTCATTTACCAGTTCCTATCTTCACCTATTTTCCTATTTTTCCCTACGCAATCATCCATGCATTGGAATAACAGGACTTTAGAATTCATTTAGAATGAATATTTTGTTTGATATGAGATGAATCTCACAAACACGTGTTGAGAAAAGAAAATAATCATATGAATTTTATTAAATAGCTAAGTTACAAGAACATCTAATCTGAACACAAAACCATAATTTTACTTTACACTGATTAGCATTATTTTTGTCCCTTAATTTTCCCAATTAATGGAGACATTAAGTCCTCTTGTTGTCCTCCTGTATGAAATTACATGCATGTAAATGAGTATGTACTAGCCATACTACAATTGTGTCTAGGTGTTTCTATTTTTACAGGGATTTTATTCTTGGTTCTAAATTTATTTTTTAATATGTCTTAATATAAGGTACAACTTGTAGATGGGAGAAAATAACATTTGGTATCAGTATCAAGTTCTTAAATTTGGAATTTTTTGTTAACTTTCTGATTAGAACATTTTGATCAATACTTAATGTTAGTGGCTGGTAATATTTCCTCTTATAAATTTTCCGGGTATATGTACAAATGTTTTAAATAATTCTCAAAAAACTAGGAAATATTGCATCTTTTTCAATGTTTTTAAAAAGACATGCATAGAATGCAAATCAATTAGAACAATGTAGTGGCTCAAGTTTGTTACATATTTCAGGTGAGGAAATACATGTTATGTCTTTTTGTGGACTAATTCCATAGTAAAAATTTCCATCTTCTTCTAAGGAAATTAGTCTTCTTGCTTGTTTTCTCTACTATCCCATCGGTGTGCACCTTCCTAGAAAAGTTTGCATTTTACCTCCTTAATTCTAGAGGTTATTTTTGCTTTTTGTTTTTTATTTTCCACATGTGACCAGCAGGTGGCGCTGTGGGACAGCCCTGCGGTCCCTGAACAGCTGCTAATAGCGCATCACTCCCTCCAGGAGCTGGGCTGGGGGCAAGGCCTGCACTCCTAGGGTTAGGGGGACTCAGCAGTGTGTCCTCTCTGGCTACAGAGTCCCCTGACACGTGGTCTCAGCAGGTGCTTCCTCCAGGGGCTCCCAAGAGGGAACTCCATTCCACCCCCGAGTTTGGGCTGTGAGCTGAGCTCCAGCATCAAGGCTGAGAGAGGGGCTGGGTGGGCCCTGGGTGGACCCCTATTTGCATGGCAGCCCCTCCTCTGGAAGAGGCTGGAAGAGAAAAGGAGGCCTGAGGCAGCCCAGGCCCACTGTGGGGACCAGGAAGCTGTGAGCACCATGGTCTGGACTCCGCTCCTGTTCATGCTCCTCTTTCGGTGCACAGGTAGGCCCAGGCCCCGGGCACCAGGGCTCGGTCCCCGGCCTGCATCAGCCCCCGGGGTGCAGACTCTGCAAACCTTTCCTGCAGCTCCTGCCCCATCTCCCCGTGTCTGTGTCTGCAGGCTCCGTCTCCCAGCCTGTGCTGACTCAGCCTGCCTCCCTCTCTGCGTCTCTGGGAGCATCAGCCAGACTCTCCTGCACCCTGAGCAGTGGCTATAGTGTTGGCAGCTATACCATATACTGGTATCAGCAGAAGGCAGGGAGCCCACCCCAGTACCTCCTGAGGTTCAAGTCAGACTCGGATAAGCACCAGGGTTCCGGGGTCCCCAGCCGCTTCTCTGGATCCAACGATGCCTTGACCAACGCAGGCCTCCTGCTCATCTCTGGGCTGCAGCCTGAGGACGAGGCCGACTATTACTGTGCTGTGTGGCATGGTGGCAGTAATGCTTACACGGCGCTTCAGACCAGTGAGGAAGTGAGACAAAAACCTCTACTCACGCCTGCTCGTGGCTCGGATGAAGTCTAGTTCAGGGGATGACTTCCAATTTTCAGATGTTAGACAAGGAACTGATTTTCCTTGAACCAGCAGATTTGATAATATTGTATCTTTTGCTTCAATTCAGCTTTTAGATTGCTAAGATGGTCTTATCCAATGCAGGTTTTCTTGGCCAAACATTGCTTGTTCAGAGATAAAAACTTTTCGATGGAGACACTGGCTGAGCCCAGAAGAGGTGGTTTCAGGCCAGGCCCAGCTCAGGGTCAAGGGGTCAATAAGACAGGCTTCTGTGAGTGTTTCACTTGGGATTTTGTGATATAAAAGTCAACATGCAGAAATGAATTGTATTTTGTAGTTCACTTTTAATTTTCATGCATTGGAGAATGAAATGGCATCCCACTCCACTGTTCTTGCCTGGAGAATCCTAGGGATGGGGGAGCCTGGTGGGCTGCCATCTATGGGGCCGCACAGAGTCGGACACGACTGAAGCGACTTAGCAGCAGCAGCAATGAATCTCCAGTTTCTAGAAATAAAACCACTAACATGTATGATACAATCAATATAAAACACTTGAAGATAACTCTAAGATCAGAAGTCTGTGCGCTGAAAACGACAAACATGCAAGAGAAATTAAAGGCACAGTGAACAGGGACTCCTGGTCTTCAGTTCAAAACATTGAGTGTAACTTAGATAACAGTCATCAAAAATAGCACAGCATCGTAAAGCAACTTGTTCAGTCGCTAAGTCGTGTCTGACCCCATGGACTGCAACATACCAGGCTTCCCTGTCCCTCACCATCCTGGAGTTTGCCAAGTTCAAGTCCGTTGAATCCGTGATGCCATCCAACCATCTCAACCTGTCATCGCCTTCTCCTCCTGCCCTCAATCTTTCCTAGCAAAAGGCGTTTTCCAATGAGTCATAAATATGAGACTACACTGAAAATTAATGAGAATGAATATGAAAATGTTCAAGTCCACAATTATCAAAAATAGTATATAACTTTAAAATTATATAAAGTTAAAAGTAGTTCAAAGTGTGTGTTATTCTGGTCCCAGTAATAAAAAGAACATAAAATTTGACTGTATTTGTATGATAACAATAAACAATCAACAAGAAAGATAAAAGAAAATTTGAACAAGAGTGAAATATTTTCTTCCAGGAAAACAGTGAGTAGCCAGGTAGTGCAAATCCTTCATTATTTATAGTGTTGCTTCCTTATACCTGCTTTCCCTTGAGAAGTAGGAGGGGGTATGAGCAGAGGGGACGGGGTGGAGCCCTTAGATGTCAGAAGGAAGGATGCTGGTTCCTGACACGACACAAGGGTCACTGCCTGCTCAGAGTCAGGCTCATCATAGCAGTGACGTGCCACCTGTCCCCTCCACCCAGATCCTGAGCACAGTCTGTGCTGTCTCAGCCGGGCTCATTGTCCAGTTCAGTTCTCAGGTCCTCCAGTCCTGGAAAGAGCAGCAGAGCTGGCGGTGTGAGGTGTCCGGGAACCAGCAGGTCCCAGCTAGAGACCCCAAACCATGATGCCTGCTGTTCCGCAACCCTCAGGATCTGTGATGGGCCCTTTGGCTCCAGATGCGGTCACTCAGATTCCGTGATGACTGGGGGCTCCTATCCTCAGATGAAAGAGGAGGAGGATGGGGATGATCATGATCTGGGCACCTGGACACAGGTGGTGCCCCCACAGTCACATTCTCTTCTGTGTCCTGGGAGCTGGGAGCAGAGTTAGCCTCACTAAGAAAGGTAGCTTCTGATTCCCAAGCCAATAGGGAGTGAACACGTGGTAAATATTTAACTCACGTAGGAAAGAGGAGAACAGGAACTAGTACAGTGGGGTCACGGAGTATATAGCTGCATCCACGGGGTCATCACTGTCCTGACCTTACCCTGATTTAAAGAAATATGCATCCCTGACGTCCCCTCAGTCCTGACCCCTGAGCTGCCGAGGGCGCCGTGTACAGACTCACCCTGAGGGTGTGAGGGGAGCCCACAGGCGGCCCTGAGGTCACAGGGGACACAGAACAGGCACCTGGCCTGACCCCTAGAAGGAGACAGAGCACAGAGCAGGTAGTTCTCCATGCTACCTGGGCTCTGGGCTCTAGGTCACAGGATGTGTCTGGCGCTCGGGGGCCGATCCTGAGGGTGCTTGGGGAATGGGCGCTGGGACCCTGGCACTGCCTGGTGGCCTCTGCTCATGGCTCCCAGTGTGACCTCCCACCCCGGGGCTACATACAGACCCGCCCCAGCCCACCGACTGGCCATGCTCAGGCACAGGGACCTGACCCAGTGCCCGGGGTCGGGGGGATAGGGGGTCATTTGCATGAAAGGAGCCTCCCCTCTCAGAGTATGAAGAGGGAAGGAGCGGCGTGGGGACGCGCTGCTCAGCTGTGGGGCCACAGAAGGCAGGACGCCCTGACCGTGTCCACCATGGCCTGGGCCACTCTTTTCCTCACCCTGGTCACTCTCTGCACAGGTGACTGGATGCGGGGACGGGGGAAGGGCCCTGGGAAGACACACGGGCCGTATTCCCTGCTCTCATGTCTGGACCCCAGAGCCACCATCTCCGTCTCTCCCCCTTCCAGGATCCTGGGCCCAGGCTGTGCTGACTCAGCCGCCCTCCGTGTCCGCGACTTTGGGTCAGAGGGTCACCATCTCTTGTACTGGAAGCAGCAACAACTTTGGGGGTTATTATGTTAGCTGGAACCAACAGCTCCCAGGGAAGGCCCCCAGACTCCTGACCTATGAAATTAGCAAACGACCCTCAGGGTTCCCAGATTGATTCTCTGGCTCCAAATCTGGCAACTCAGCCTCTCTGACCACCTCAGTTCAGGCTGAGGACAACACTGATTATTACTGTTTCTCATGGGCTGACGGCTTGAAAGTTTCCACAGTGCTTCAGGCCAGAGCAGAAGGAGACAAAATCCTGCTTCCCCCAAAGCCATGGGGCTCCCAGGGCAAGGCGTTTGCCCCTCCCTTCCTGGAGTCCCTGAGAGAACGGAACCCAGCAGACTGAGTGTCCCCTGACTGCAGCACAGCTGCCCCCTCAGCTCGACTCCCCTCCCCAGGGCAGCGGCTCACAAGGGGTGGTCACACACCCCTGGATGAAGGAGCTGCTGACAGAAGTTGCCCCTGGTTCCCAGGTCGGAGTCAGCAGCACAGAGCAGGGCGGTCAGTGCCGCCCTTGCTGGGTCAGTGGGCAGTGAACACACATCCCTGAGCTTCCGCCACAGAACGATCTCCTGTTAAAGGAAAAGGAAATGGAATTCAGAGTTTCTTCAAGTAATTTCCACAAAGTCCAGGATCCAGTAAAAATTGTCAGTTCTGTCAAGAACCAGGAAATTAAATATTGAAGGGAAGTGAGATTGCATAGACATTAATGCTGAAATGCCTCAGATGAGGAAATCAGGTGACAGATATTTTAGGGATAAATCATCAAATCTATTTCATGAGCAAATACAAACACTCTTGGGTCCTAAGGAAAAGGAGATAAATGAAAGGAAAATAAAAGAATCATGAGAAAATGTAGTCAGAATCATTCGAAAATAAAATACATGGAAATAAAAGAGAATTCTCTGTTTGTTATCAAAGACATGTAAAACTTATTATTTAATTCATTTGTTCATTGACCGAATATTTGGTGACAGGAAAAAAGGCAATCCCTCCTTCCTCATAAGGCTTCCCAGGTGTCACTAGTGGTAAGGAAGCCTCCTGCCAACACAAGAGTCATAAGAGATGTGGGCGCTGTCCCTGGGTTGGGAAGATCCTCTGGGGCAAGAAACGGCCACCCACTTCAGTGTTCCTGTCTAGAGAGTCCCGTGGACAGAGGGGCCTGGTGGGCTGCAGTCCATGGGGTCACAAGAGTCAGACAGGATTGAGAACCAAGCAACTGAGCAGCGCCTTGCTCACAGTCTCACCACCGTGACTGTTCCCCAGACGGGCCACCAGGGGCGCTGTGCGCGTGCTCAGAACTGGCAAAGCCCGAACACACCCACGTGGTCCCCTGACCTGGCCCTGCACCCGGGCTCAGTGCCCTGAGTTGGACGAGACAGCAGGCGCTTCCTCTCAGGGGACAGACTCAGAGCCTCGGCCCCCAGGCCTCCTCCTGGGAGTGATGCTGCACACGGGGCCGAGCACCCAGAACTGGAGGGTGAAGGGGTCAGGTGGTCATCAGTCCCCATCCTCGTCCCAGAAACAGGGGAGGGGAGGAGCCCCCGGAGCCCGCCCCGTGCCCCCCTCCAGCTCTGCTCAGCCTGCTCCTGCTCCTCCTCACCTCTTTGCTAAGAGTCCCCGCTCCCGCTCCCCTCATTCGTGACTTTCCCCAATCCCGAGCCTCTCTCTCTACAAACCTGCACTGGTGACCTCCACGGTCATGACCAAGCTCAGTCTGTCAGAAGGTCACGGACAGGTGTCCAGATCTTCCTGAACTGGACACTCACTTCCTCCACCCCTCCTTGAACCTCTGTAGCCCTTCCTTCCTGAGAAGCCTCAGGTCTCTGGGTCTATGTGTGACCCAAGTTCGTTATCCCTCTGCTCCTCTCCAGGTTCCCCTTGTTTCCCAGAGGATCCACGAAGCCCTCTAGTGGCTGATTTATCCTGTGAATGCTCACACTCCGTTCTGTGTGCCCATCGAGTGAGGAATCAGGTGGGGAGAGAAACCCAGTCCTGAAATGCGGGAAATGATTCCTGGCTGAGGAGTGTCTCTGCTCAGCTGCTGTGGGACTGATTTTATGCACAGTGAGCAGAGAAGCTGTTGGGGCCCTTGGCTGGGAAAGCAGACCCTGTCCTGGGGCTCTGATCCGGGGCGATCACTGC